CCACAGGGTCTCCAAGGCTGTCAGTCTTCACAGAAGCAAAGCCCAAACCACACCTACTGGAAGCAAAGCCCAAACCAAATTCACTGCCATTGACTTGACTTGACTCATAGCAACCCCTCCTTGGATTTCCCAGGAGGTATCACTATGGAAGTAGATTGCCCCATCGTCCTTCCAAGGAGTGGCTGGTGGGTTTGAACCGCCAGCCTTCTGGTTAGCAGTCAAGTGCCTTAGGCACTACGCAATCAGAGCTCCTGAGCTGCTATGAAGTAGGCCTCAAGTCACAGAGACCCCGGGCACAGCACAACGAAACCCTTCCTTTCCTGCCCTGCCCTCGTGATCAGTTACGGATCTGCCTGCTGTGACCCACTGGGTTTCACTGGCTGATCTTCAGAAGTCGATCCCCAAGCCTTTGTTCTTAGTCTATTTACTCTGGAAGCTCTGATGAAACCTAGCAACACCCAGGCCTCCACCAACAGACGGGTGAGGTGCATTGGCCGGGAATTGAATCCAGGTGGCCTACCTGGAGGAGGAGAATTCTCCTCCTGAACCACCATTGTCCTCAGTATTTGGGGATTCGAGAGGGAGAAGGAATATCTGTTTGCTTTTAGTTAGAGGCAGAACCAGAGCAAAGAACAAGCAAAGGTTAGGGCAAGGGCAGAAGGAAGTTAACAAGGAAGGAAGTGGCAAGGAGGGAGATTTTTAGCTCAGTCTGAGGAAACAACTTACTGAAGAAAAAAAAAAAATCTTTCAAACAAATCAAAGTGCCCAGTATGGGAAATGGCACTCCGCAGAGACAGTTGTCCATCAGCGTTCTTGCGGTCACTTGTCTGGGACTTGAGCATAGAGCACCAGCTTTAGGTGGGAGGCCTGCTTAGACGTCTGCTGGCTGAGGTCTCATACACCTCCAAGATCGTGATCCAAGACGTGCTGGGTCAGAACCTGGCCTGCTGAGAACCATTGGTGCTGGGGCACGAGATGAGGCATGAGTACATGAGCCCACGGATGAAGCGCTTTCAAATAGATGGCCTCGTGAAAGGCCAAGATGAAGCCATCAGGTTTCCCAGGGATGGTTCCAGAGAAGGGATCTTTCCCTGAAAAATAACGGCATCAGAGAGTCACCATGGCAAGGCCTTCCTGAGAGAGATTGCTCCTTCGGTGACAAATATGAGTGAGAGGAATTGTAATCCGTGATGATGGTGTTGGGTGTGATAAAGTTGTTTCCAACTCTCATAGCTGCTCCCTGTGACAGAGTGGAACTGCCCCACAGGGTTTCCGAGGCTGTCAGTCTTCACAGAAGCAAAGCCCAAACCACACCCAC